CTCTTTTTTTTTCTTTCTTCCACTTACACTTCACACTCCCCAAAAAAAGTTTGAACTACAATTCTATTTGCAAGAAAAAAATTACAAGGTAAAAGTGTGATTGGTAAGTTTAAGTTGTTGGTGTTTGTTTGAAAAGTTTTTAAATCTTTGACACTATTGTAATAAGCCATAGTTCAGTCCTTTTATTCTTTTTTTTTTGTACTGATTTTTAAAAAGTATAGATGTACATCTGACACGACTAATTATGACGAGAATATACTCTTAAAAAACTGAAACTTTTTAGACTTACTTACCTCTGTTTTTCATTTTTTTTTAGCTAAAAAAATATGAGCAACATATTCTCTCAGTTGTTCATTTCTACAATTCGTATCAGTTGAATAATAATTATATGAATGTATTTTTTTCACAAATCCCTATGTTTTTTTCTTTCCAGACAAAATTTTTCATCTAAAAACTATGTAATCGTGCAATACTGCTACAGAAAACAGAAGGGGCATTAGTTTTAAGATGCTGAACACCACTGAACACATTGACATTATATCAACTTGTGGCTGTTGAAGCCAAACGATTAGGTCAAAAAAAGCTTTTGCTTACATTTTCTGTAACACACTCTGAAAACTGAGAAACAGCATCTGAAGGATAGAAGGACTGTAGAATTACAATTAGTTATTCACTGTTTAATTTGAACATATGTCTTTTTAATTGCTAAATATAATTTCTATCAAAAGATTCTGAAGCATTTGAGCAATAACACCATTGAAAAAAATAATTTCAAATAATCACTTAAAAAATAGGCGTAATTTTTATTATCAAAACAACAGTCACTGTATAACGCCAATGTTCAAAAAACTCATCTTTCTATTGTATTTATTTTTGAAGAAAAAAAAGAAGCAGTTGAAAGTAAAAAAGTGACATCATTTTTTTTTTTTTTGTCAGAAAAAAATCTTTTTTTTTCTGATCAAATTATTTAAACATCTTTTTGAAGGTGTTATTTTTTTGATCAATTATAACAGTTTATGATTTTTGACACCTGTTTCAACGGTTTTCTCAAAACATTATCTAATCAGTTTGACGCTTGGCAAACGTCTTATGGCTTGACTCGTTTATTGACTTTAAGCTAGAATACACGTGACATAAAAAGTAAGGGTAAGGTGATTGACGATTGCTAGTAAAATTAGCTCTTAGAACTTATTACCAATCAAACTGTTCGTCGGTCAACAGAAAGCATTTAAGTGATTGAATCTTTTTCTCACTAAATTTTGAATATAAATGATAAAAATAAATAAAAGAAAAAAAATTAAAAACAAAATTTGACTACAAAGACGCCAAATCCTATAAAACCAAAGAAAAAAAGTGAATTTCAAGTGATTTACAACAAGAAAAGAGTAAAAAAAAAGCTACATTAGCACTTATTAAGTTCTGAGGAACCGCAGTAGTGAGTGCTTTTCCATTTACATTATTCTGCGCGTTCGCTACCCGCAACATCTGTATTTTTACACTGAAAAGCGCAATTTTGCTGTATCCACCACTATATCTGTTTGTGAAACCGCTTACTGAGATTGAACAAATAGTATCCCCGTAAAATTGAGTATGCTAGATAATTTATAAAAGAAAACATTGATGATTATCTGTTTAACTATAAGTTAAGTATATTAGAAAAATGAAATTTTTTTCAAGAACCTTAAGGTAATAATTGTTGTACTGTATCTGATCAGTTGATTAAACAAATAAGAAAGAAGTAAAAGTATAGCTGAATGCAGTAGCAGAAGAACAGCAGTTTACTGCACAAATATTAACATACTGCAAATACTATTAGTTGTAATAATAAGCCATTTTTTTCGTTCTAACCTGTTTAGTAAATTGTTTAGTAAAATTAGTAAAATCTAAAAAAGGTAAAATAATAATTACAGAAGAAAAACAGTTACCTTTTTTAGGTGGCATGA